TTTTTTTTTTTTTTTTTTAGTTTTATCGAGTTTCAAATATGACGTAAAATATGAAATATTGTAGTTAAAATAGCTCGAGCGTCAAAAAAAACAAAATAAAATAACAAGTTATTTTGTTTAAAATTTTTAATTTTAGTTCAGTTTAGTACGTAATATGTAGGATATATGTATATTATTTTTTTTCCGAAAATACACACCCTGTAAAAGTTATACGTTATTGCAAATGTTTGTTAATCGCCTACTCGATTAACCGTCATAGTCCCTGTCCCGAAAGTGACGGTTGATTTAGTTTCTACCATATTGAATTTACTGAATGTTAAGGATAATTAAAATAAATAAAATATGTGCGTATCTGAAATTTATTGCCACAACATCATATTTATTCATAAGTCTATTATTCGTTACCTTTTTTTTTGTATTCCAGTTTTCAATTCTATTACTTTTTGAATCATATTATAACAGAAGCATACCCAAGGGGGGGATTTCGGTCTGGACCTCCCCTCCATTGATATTTCAACGTTTACATTTTTACGCGTTTAAATATAAATGTATTAACGTAAAATAGAATAGTATTAATATAATAAACCTATTTTGAAGTCTAAACCATTTGTTATTTGTTATTGTTTTTTTCATATTAATCATAATTAATATTATACTATTTGTCTGTTGTGGTTTTTAACCCGAGGATTGTATAACTTTTAAGATAACCACGGATTACAAGTTGTAGTACGTAATAATAACTATCATTTGTAGAGGTACCTGTCATGATAGTGATTAGTGACGGCAAATATTCTATTATAACTAGGGAACGGATTTATATGTATTAAAAATACAGAAATATGTACATATATACTTACATGTCAGTTTAATTTATAAAATATGTGCTAAAAACAACCAAATATGTGGGAAAGAAATTTAATTAAAAAAAAAAATTATTATAATTAATAATTAAACTATCAAAATGATTTATTGCATTGAATTATTACAAATCATTATTATCGAATGTTATATGTCATCTGTTATGTCTCAAAATATTTTTAAAACGGCTAAATGATCATTCCACATAAACTAATGTACTTGTAGCATATTTGAAGCGCATATTAAAAGTCGATAAGTCAAAATTTTTAGAAGGGTGTCTGCCACTCATTGATTGTTTTAAAATCAAAATAGCCCGGATTTTTTTCTGTAACATCATTCATTTTCTTTTTTACAACATCTCCTATTGACCTGCTTACGAGTTTTAATTTTTTAATCGTTGTTTTAACAATTTGCATACTATCGTTTAAGGACATATTTTTTGTTTCCGATTTTGTAATTTTTTGTGCAATAAAACTTATATTTACTGAAATGAAAATAAAATTATTTTTCAATGTTTCATTTTGCATAATATTTTTAGCTTTTCCAATAACAATAGAAGTTTCTAGATCTAATTTTGAAATAATTACTTGTATTTTCGTACGAAGGAACGTATGAGTAATGAAAAAATAAAATATGTTTAAAAATATTTACAAATTAGTGAAATATATTAAAATGTGTAAAATAAAAGTATTATCATTTTAATAGGAATGGTTTAAATCCTGAACATTTCTTATCGAATTTTAAATATCATGTTTTAATAAAAATATATATTTACATATAAATCCGTTCCCTAATTATAACCAACAGGCTCGTGTTCGCTTAAACTATAAAAATCTATAAATAGATATTAGGTATTTTTTCCCTTTGATATAACAAAAATTATTAATAACAGCTATCATAGTTGTAATCAATAATGAGAAACGAGACAATGACCAATAAAACTATTGCCCACATAACTTGACAGTTGTTAAATGTCAATTGACTTTTATGTGATTTTGTGACCCGTGTTTTTCATATTTTTTTGAAGATTTTTAATTTTATTGTGAATTCGAAAATCTTTTGCATTTTTTTTTTTTTGCATTTTTGACAAAATTAACCTTAAATGCATTTCTAGGGCTTTTTAGACCATTTTTGTTCATTTTCTTATTTTTAGAGCATTTTTAACTATTTGTTCATAAAAATAAACGAAAATTATGAAAAAAGAATACTATCCGACTAACAACAATAATTTTTGTTTTAAAATATAAGACAGCATATCATTATACAATGTAATAGCAATTTTGTTCAGGTTAGTAATAATGATTAGCAAAAATATTTTAAAATATTAACAATTTATTTTAAATTATGATTTAGAATGAATGAAAGAAAACAGAAGTATAAGAGAACTAAACTAGTAACAACGCACAATACTATAAAAAAAAAAAAAACAAAAAAAAAACTTTTGTGGGGTATAATTTTAAATTTTTTTTTCCAATTTTTAAGGTACAATAAATATAGTTAAAATGCATTGTTTGAGTTTTTTAAGTAATTTTTGCATTTGTTTAAGTGCATTTTTTTAAATATTTTAGGTCATTAAAATCTCAGCCCTAGTGATAACTTATTATTTATTTTATATTTATAGTTTTCTGCGGGTTAAAAATTTAACTATGATCATGGGTGCTCTTAGGTAAAACTTTAAAAAGGAGTCAATTTTCTTTTTCAAAATATGAACTATATATTCTCAAAAAGGTAACACTTATTCAATTTTATGTTAATATAATTTTTCTATAGAAGGAAGGAGAGCAAGTGCATAATATTGTCTTCCCCAATGATCGACCTTTACTATGATTATATTTAAAGAACAAATTAAGTAAAATTGTTAACCCCCCCCCCCCCTTAAATAATTTCTAGTTACGCCATTGTATTGTAATATTCTTCAGAACTAAAAAAAATATATTGTCATCTCTCTTTTTACTGTTGATAATTTTTTCAATGCTGCTTTAAATTTATTCTTGTTTTCCGTACTCCAATATTATATTTGTATCAAACTAAAATGCCATAATATTCACGAGTAACACAATTTAGATTAGAAATAGTTATGGAACACGCTATCGTCGCGTACAGAACTCGCTGGAATATACGCATAAACGCTAACTAATAAACTCGTGATATCTGCTGCCCGCGGACATTTTCCCTGCACGCAACAATCGCGTTAATGGGGCAATCCATCGCTTTCGGTAACGGCATTTCAACAATAAAGATAATTCAATATATCGTTGTTAAAGTGCATCGCGACACCACGTATTCGAGTTGCACAACTTTTTCGCTCTTCTGTCTGCTTTCGTTATGATATTTTTAACCAACGACTATATACACTTATCCAGAGCAGTAAAAATAGGTTGTGCCGAGTGTACATTGCACACAGGCCCCGGGCCTCGTACCGTATTAAGGGGCCTTAAAATATCGAATGCTCGAAAATGTACAATGATAAGAGGTCTCAAAATTTTGGTTTTAAACACGGGCCTCGAGTGGTTGGGTCACAGCACTTCGCTAATCACTGATCGTTCACACCGACACAAACGTATTGAACATCATTCTCCGACTGAACTGGGGATCGGCATCAGGGGCGGATTGGCAATTATTTTCTGTCCAGGAAATATGAAACAAACCAGCCCATGAACATCAAATTAAACTATCTCACCTCTCCCACCTCCCAAAAAAATGCTTTATTTTGTATCCATTTCAAAATTTGTTTAGTTTTACCCCTAAATTAATAAAATCTACAATAACTTTACTATAATTATAGCTATAATATGATAGTTTTGGGTAAGTCATATGATTAATCAGTTCCAACTTGAACTTGAAGTTTGATGTTAATGCATCTTTAAATATATATTTATTTTACAAAATAAAACTTTTTTTTGTTAATTATATAATAATATAAAGCGGCCCAAACAAGGACTGGCCCATCGGGAAGATTCCCGATTTCTCGATAGACCAATCCGCCCCTGATCGGCGTCAATAACCGGTGTGAATGTCTACATTTAACAATCGTTAGGTTTTTACCGGGGAATTACGTGTCATTTACAAAATTTTCATCATTCACCGTAACATATATATATATATATTTTACCAGCAATATGGATAATCCGGTATTTTGCAAAATACTAAAAATCACTCGGCAATATAAATAATACGACCTTCGCCTAGATATTATGTATAATGCCAATAGTGGAATAAGTAATATGAAGAAAACAAACGAAATTTAGCATCGCCTTTTACCAACGACTTTACTTATCGTTTAAATGTGAGTTAGATAAAGATCGCGATAAAGATTAATATTCTTTTACTACTATAATAATAATTCTGAGATACAATATTGAACGTACTAATAATTTTATTTCAATATCATCATTTTTCTCGTCATTTTCGTGTCTCGTTTTGATGTTGCAACTATGCATACGATTTGTATGAAGTCAAATTTTTAAAACAGACTATTAAATTTTTTTTTAAAAATTTGGCCACTAATACTAAATTTTTATCTGATGAACAGTATAATGAGTTGATAAAAATTCAATCCACAAGAATTGGCCAAGGATTATTAAAATGTGTTTGTAAGTCCAAGTGTCGAAATAAATAGTGTATTAGCCTTAAAAATAACATTCTGTGCACTTCAAAATGTCATTTTTCTACAACATGTTAATGTTTGAAATAAGTAAATAGTAGTTTAAGTAAAATATTTATATAATAGTAATAATATAATAATAGATAAAAATTAAATGTTGTCTGTAATATGGGTATTAATATATAATAATTATAAGAATCTTAATTTAATATAACATATAATAAAATGTTTTGTACATTGCTTAAAAAAAAATTGGCATTTCGCTTAATACCTAGGTTATATGTAAAATAATATTTAAAATCTTATGTTTTATTTACATTGCCTAAAATGGGTCGGCAATTTGCATAATGCCTAGGAGTTTTGCAAAATACCTAAACTATCCATATTGTCGGTGTAATATATATGTTTCAATAGATGAATAAAATACAATCCCAAGATTAGTTTAGTTACGTTCGTGCAGGAGAAATTAATAAATATTGAAAATATGTACCAGTTCTCGAAATGTCCTAAATTGCCTACGCTGTGCGCCGTCTTTCGCATTACGATATAATGAAAATGTTAAATAATAGGCCCTCCGGTGCCTGTTCATTGACGAAAGCGGTCGCGAAAAGGGGCAACTGTAAACTCGCCTAAAATTTTGCTACAGAATTATACGTAAATAAAATACCCTAAAAACGTATATAAACATTGTAAATTCCCCTGAAATATATTGCTGCTGAATGTATACCAATTATATTTTATTAGGTATTTATATTTTTATAAAGATCGTCACATAATAAATGTAGTCGCACGTTCAATCATCGATCAGAATTCGAGATAGCCGATTGATAATCGAATTATTGAACAAGTTTTGAAGACAATTATTTTTAATTATACGCTCGTCTGATTTTATTGACCGTCTTTGCGACTATACCTTTGCGTAAATGTATTGTTCACGTTTGTTGTCCTCCTATTCAAACTGTAGGGTTTTGAAATAATATTTCATATTTTATAGTGGCATAATGCATTAGTATGTTCTACCAAAACAGGTTTATTTCTGAACAGTTTATTCGTTATATAGAAACATGTTCACTGTACATAGATAAATTTACTCATGATTTACAATGAAGACCAAGGTTTGCAAAAATATTTTGTTATACATAAAATTACGTTAAAATAAAAGTTTTTTAATAAAGCAGTTTCAATTTTAAGTTTAAAGGAGTGTACATACGTGATATTTAGCAAAATATTTTTAGGGGAATTTATAGAATACTTTTGGGGCGTTTACAAGCACGCGCGAAATGTTACCCTCGCCGGGTCGACCGTAAATGTTCGGCTGATTGATTTGAGGTGCGTGTTGGAACCGGACGACGGCATTCGTCCGGTATCGCACTCGCGACGCAATTCTTCTAACGTCGGTTGATAAATGTTTTCGTCCGAAATAGTGTGAAAATTGATTGCAAATAATTCTAATCGCAACCGTTCGACGCAATAAATTGAATCGATTGGAGTAGGCGCAGAGGCTTACCCGGCGTCGCCTACAAATACTAGGCGAAATATTACTCGGGGAGAGAGAGAGAAAGAGAAAAAAAATAATTGGAATCACGATGGAAATTACAAAAAAAAAAGAAAAAGTTTCAATTGTGTTTAACGATTGTAAACGATAACAGATAATACCACGTCGTGCGGTGATGCAAAGTCGCTTGCATAGGTCTGTTATCGGCAGGTTGTTACGGGCGGTGAAGTTATACGGTGGTGGGATCGCTAAGGAATTACAATGCACCGGCCGACATCTCACTGCTATTTCGGGTCGCGCGTATTTCCCTGATCGTTGGAGACAAAAATATGCAATGAGATATGGACACAGGTCAGGGTCACGGCCCGACCTGATCGGCTGGATATCATGCTGTTGATTTGGGAGTTGGTGGAATTTAAAAATAAAATTAAAAACTTAATTTCCCCGTTGAAAACGCCTACGATGTTCAAATACATTTAAATGTACGTAATGCGATCGCTCGTATTCTACCACGTGTGAACACGTATACTTTATTTGTAGATTTTGCAAAGGTGGTAGCAGGTCAATGAAAATAATGAACTCGAGTTAAGTTAAGAGAACACAAAACCGATTAGTTAAAAGTTAACAGTTAACAATTCATAGATTTAACTCGATAGGTTAATAAGGAAAAAAATATTAACTTTACTCAGCTTAAAAAAAATGAATCTACTTTTTTTAATTAGTATATAGATTACATAAAAAGTGACTGCATTCTTTAAAAATATCTAATTTCCTAAATTATAATAAATAATATTATTGAACTTTTTATCATAATATACTGCAGTGACGCTGAAATGTTTGAAAAATACTATAACATTGTGCATCAAGGAGCCACTCACTACCAAAGGCGTCCATCTTTAGAAATCTTGGGGGGGGCATAGTGTTTTATATTAATATTTACCTTTATTATACATGGATATTGTCATAGGTAAAGTTGCATATATTAATATTATTTCATTAAGTACATGCATTGTTGTTAAACCTATACAATTATTATTTATAAAATAATTAATTTGATAATTAATACAATTTTAAAATTGTTTTAAAATTCGGTTTTTTTAAACGTTACCAAATGATTTAAAAACAAATCCGTGTACGCGTGAACAAATTATGCTTATCTTTTTTTTTCTCACTGAATCTAATTTAATAAAATTTTTAATATTTCCCAATACAAATAAAAATATAATTTACTGAGTAGCGCGATTTTCGTTACACGAAGGGTAAACGCATAAATATAAAATTAGGATGCGGCATTTCCACTACATGGTATTAATATTTAAAGTACGAAAAATCTAAGGGGGGATATGTCTCCCTCTTGACCACCCCATTGGATGCCCATGCTCACTACCGTATTTATTTAAATTTATAGTTAAAACTCTTTACACATAACATTCTGTATCCATGGCCAGAACCCAATACTCAAAGGTGGGCCTCCAACCTACAAAATCGGATGTACAGTGTATGCGACCATTTTACCTTACATGATTTTTTAATTTTTATATTAATATTATATTTATGTATATTGATATAAGTTATTTCAACTGCCAAATAAACTAGTTAAAAAAATAAGTTAAAAAATTTATTAGAAAATAAACTAACTAGATAAGTTAAAAAGTTAAAAAAAATTAACTTTTTAACTAGTTAATGCCCGCCTTTGGATACTTGTCATTTAGCCTGCCCTAGTAAAATTGCGTCCGGTTTCGCATGTGAAAATACGCGCTTAACCGAAAATATTAAACGCACCAGGATTGACTGTATACAATATATATAACCGTAGTGAGTCCAAGATAATGACGGCGAATAATAAAACTCTTACCTTTTTTTTCCTGCGGGTGATTCCTTTCGGGGAGGCGATTGGACACGGCACGTTGACGTATAATCGGGTGAGCTGCCGATCAGGGTGTTGCGTGTGCGGCAACTTCAACGTCGATCGACGCCCGTTCGGAAACAGAACCTGCTGGTCTTCGGAGTCTTAACGGACGAGCTTGTAGTGAAAAATTGCTCGTGATGGAGTCCCCTGTGGTTACGTTGTCACCGATTCCGGCAATTGTCCCCTCCTATGACCGGTGCACGAGGTAGGTGGGGGTTTGCCGGATCGGTGTTTGTGACCGGGCTGCGGCTTGGTAGAGAGCGGGCGCGGGTCTACACAATGTGCCTCCGACTACCGCCGGACCGCGTCAAGTATCGAATATAGAACGTTAAAGTTACGCGCTCATTTGATTATTTATACATTATAGTTTTTCAAATATACCGTTATGTTAAGATAGGGTGCAAACGTATTGCAGGTACGCCTCGAAATGCAGGTCTGCGCACGCCAATGCTTATACCAGTGCAATAACAATTAATAATAGAGAGTCTTCCTGAAATAATATCATACAACAGTATTAAGCTTACATATTATAAAAGTTGATTGTCGTTAGCTTTTCACGGGCAGGAAAATGAAATCTCAATGTTCTACCGAGACTTAAGTATTGTTAAATCGACCTCTGGAGTAGACACTGCCCGGGCGGGAGAGAAAACTCAACCGTTTTAAGACGGTCATGCGATGATCGTACCTACGGATTTCATAACGTTTATTTTTGGTAAACGTAGATGAACTGTATGTTGAATATAGGTAATTAATATCGCGATAATATAAGTTCAGCAATTGACTTTGAAAAGCAGAGAGATATTTATTTTTATAAAATCATCATACGCCCGAAATCTTCGTCCGCCCGCGACGGGGGCACCGCCCCGCTCTCGCGTCCGAACTTCACATAGATAAGAATAGTGAACTCGGCTGAACCCTGTCCCGTGCGAACTCAAAGGATCAGCAATCAGCCCGGTGTTCGGACCAGTAAAACGAGCGGACGTGTGAATAGAAACAGTTTCTATTTGCCGTGACTGTCCCACTACCGAAACGTACTGCATTCGATTTTTCTAAACCAGGGACGGGCTTAAAGGGGTGGCTAAGGTAGAATTAGCTCCCCTCCCCCTTGGGACTAGGCTAACTATTTTACAAAGCCGAGTTTTATGATATAATGATATATTAATAATTATTATAAAATATCGTCAATCGTCATCGATGAATATGGTACCTATTTTATATATTTTTTTATAAATAAATAGCTCGTTATAGTTGTTAATTATATGTGTATACCTATATTTTTAAAATTTAAAATTTTATATAGATTTGAAGAACAACTATCATACGACACGCACAAGAGTATGTACATAGAGCCATAGAGGTATGACGGTTGAAAGGAGTTTCTCCACATTCCGTAGACTAAGAACCTGACTTCGTTCAAGGATGACTGAAGATGGGCTATCAACATTATGTCTAATTAATGTATATCATAAAGTAGATATTCCAAATGAAATAGATCATATTATTGATATTTTTGCCAATTTTAAAAATAGACGACTTGAATTTGTGTTGTAAAAATTGTTGTTTTCTTTTTGTTATAAGATTTTGTAAGATTATAACTTCCCCCCCCCCCCAAACCAAGGCTCTGGAGCCGCCCCAGTCGCACACATCCCGTCTCCGTTCCGATTGTAAACGGCAACACAGAGCCGGACGACAACGCCGTCCGATGGCGAAAAACCAATTACACCGCTCGGTCTCGTGTCACCGATCGAAACTAATAACGGTGAACGACATGCGTGTCGACCTTGGCGGAACGACGGACACGTGCAGAGGGCTTATCGGTTCGGCCGACGGCGACCTAACCGATATCGCTGGTGAATATGACGGAAAGTCTGTTCGGGTTCGCCCGAAATAGCACCGCGTTGCAGTGTTTCGACCGCGATTGCTCGTCCGAGACGAACCGAAAACCGAAAATATAAATAAAAACCGATAAAAATCCATTACACCTAGTCGGTTTTTCGTTCGGAACGGACGACCGTTAATCATCGTAGTACTGCGACGGTCGTTTTTTAGGAATACCACCTAAAGGTGTTGCGCCGAGATGGTCAAGATTTCAGCGGTCGCGTTTCGACGTACGGCCGACGCCCGCGCGCCGAACACTTGTCGTGCGGTTTTCTCCCCGTTCGTCCGTACTCAAACGGGTTTTTATTCTTTAAAACCGTCCGCAACATATCTCATATTCTCGCTTGAGAAGTTCAACGTTGACGTCGAAACAAACAGCACCCGGTCATGTTTTTATTGCAATATTTCGAAATCGATTAGTTTTCAGTACTTGTGATCAGATCTCGTCGTGTTCACATGATTTGTACGGAGTATTTTATGTAGTTGTTTTATATATATTTTTTTTTTATCATACACTTTTCTTGTTATGAAACAAATCACGAGTTGATTTCGTACCGTCGGACACTTGGATAATAGTATTTTTAGACATTTCGTGATGATTATGTTGGCAACTAATTTCAACCGTACACTATTTGTTTTCGAATAAAATAATTATTTATAATGTTATAAGACGATAAAATATTTAAAATAAACACCAGATAGCAGTTAAACTGTACTTTACATGATTATTATATTATTTAGTCCCGTAATGCGAGTGCCGTTTCATCACGCCAACACGAGATTAGGAAGTTATCTATTCGTTATTACGATGTACCGTTTAGCGTGACAATCGAACACTTGAACATTTTGCTTGGTTTTGTTTCAAATGATTCTTCTATCAACGATAGAAAATAAAACTGTGTTGCTCAAGTTGAAATTATAAAATGTAGAAGAAATATTATTGTTAAGGGGGTCGGAACCAGTGTAGTTTTAACACACAAAAACATGTCTTACAGGAAAAACTCTCACGCCCTATAGAATTGTCGAATTTTGTTAATTTTTTTTTTTTTTTATTCAAAAGAAGAAAACATTTCGCAGGTCGGATCAAAACGCAATTTTCAAAATTATAATTAAAGAATCTAAAATATGCATTCCAATAATGCACAATATTTGCTTTTTTTCAAATGTAATTATCTAGCACTGTTCAAAGTAAAATGAAAATTTGGGCTTTGATCCCACCTGCAAAATGTTCTCATTTTTCAGAAAAAATTTTTTTTATCAAAATCCAACAAATAACTGTGGCGTGAGAGTTTTTCCCGTAAAAGCATTTTTGTTCATCCTAAACAGTGCTTCGAAAAATAGTGACCAAAGTCATTCAATGACTTGTGCGTGCGCGTGCGTAAATATCCTTATCTGTGCGTTTGTCAACGCACACAACCAGTATAAATTGCGTATCGCAGTTCCCGATAAAATTAAAAATAATTTGCTATTGACGATACGGTGTTGTATATTATATTCGGAATAAGAACAAGCTTCGGCGGCTGTTGTATTTTTCCGTACGACTATATCAGACCCCGGTACCATCAGTCGTCACTCGCGCACCATAACACATACGTTGGTCAGTCCGCGCTCTTGAAAACCAATTTCTTTTGTTCAATTGTTATTCCCTATATTATTTTGTTTTACCCGAAGTAATAAATACGTAAAACAAATTCCTATAATTTAATTATTTACACTTTATTATAATAATAAAAAAAATAGTAATCAGTTACAAATTATAACAGCCGTCCATTATATATTTGTATATATTATTATTATCGTAAAAATGTATCTAAATAAAATATAAACTAGTATATAATAATAATTCACGATTAATAATTACAATAATAAAAGTTTAAAAAATTTCCATTTATTTTAAAATCGTAGTATTTACAATTTCTTGTAATAAATAACAATTATAAAACTCGACCAATTGTGTTTTCATTTTATGCTTCCAGAAGTCGTTATCACGCATTATTATTTCTACAAACATATCTAAAAACAAAAACCATATTTAAACTGTAAAATAAAAAAAGAGTATTTGGTTAGAATATATTATTGTATATAACCTTTTGGAGTCCAAACTACAAAATAACACGAGCATTTATTGGCTACTCTTAATTGTCCCTGAACCTAGTAATAATAATTATGGTTTTTGTCCAATTGTAGATCACCATTATTTTTTATTTTTAAAAATTTGATTTTTTTAGCCACAACTCCTTGTTGTGGTGTCATATCTTTACTAATATGTGGGCATTTTATTTCAATAATTTTATTATAATAATAATAATGATAAACACAATTCATAACAGTAATTCTATGAAACGATAACGCATGGACTAATAAGACGTATAATATACAAAATTTGTATATTTGTATTACAAATAGATACACATCCGATAACGCGCAGTAAGTGTAATTATCTAATTTTATCTTATTATAGCTCACGCACACTATTATCGATTTACACACATTCATGCTCGGTTGGTGCGCCGCCGATACAACATGTGTATTCAATTGCCTAAATTTTACTCCTTAATAAATGACCAGCACCGACCCCCTTAATCTAAGAGTGTTTTCGGTTTTCCCGATATAATGGACAACAAATCTTTTATCTGTGAAAATCGTTTATTCGAAAAACTAAAATTTTTCGGTGCGATTGATAATTTTCTGATAAGCTAGTTTTAAGATACTTTTTAAAGTAAAAAGCTGATTCGTACTGCTCACACTCTGACCGTCAACAAATTCGATTCGTTTTTATTTCTGTCGTTTTTTTCCGGATTTAAAACAATTTTTCGTCAAATAATTAACAGCCGTTGCTTCGGAACAGAAATAATTCGCCGCTGAGTCAGTTGTGCATGACTTGTACATTTCTAATACCATATAAGTGTTCGAACATTTTTTCCGAGAGGGATTCAGACTTTCCTTTGCTTCTCCCTACAATTGTCATGTCTTAGTTCTCATCATAATTGAAATTAGGGTTAGCAGTGGCGTATATAGGAGGGGTGCCTAGTGGGCTACAGCCCCTCCCCAAATTGTTTCAAAAAAATTAAAAATTATTTTAAACGTTTTTTTATATTTTAATGGTGTTTCATGCTTATTTAGAAATAATTTTATAAAAAAAAAAAATAGAAAAATGATTTTAACTTGAT